GCAAACTCACTTTATATCTCGAGTCAATTAGAATCACTCACATTTGCAGAACAAATCTCCTTCCAATTACATTCTCGGTCAAGGTTCGAGCTTCGTTCAATGTCGATCTAAATCGATTGCGTGCTATCCTTCAGTACGCCATTGCAGTGAGCAACCAGGCTTTCACCCTGTTGGCTCAAAATCGTTAAGCTCGAACGATCGCTATGCAATGGGCATCTAAATGTAGTGTCTTACCATCACAGCCAATACTGTAGTAAGAATAACCGAAAAGCTCAAATTTATCATGCTGGATATTTCCTAGATTGTTGGAAGGTAGGATAGTCAGATAGGAAGACAAAAGCTGGCAGATGTATTTGATAGTCTCGCCACACCACCACTTACAGCATCCTATATATATATATATATATATATATATATATATATATATATATATATATATATATATATATATATATATATATATATATATATATATATATATATACACCGCAGCGAAACCTGGACGCTTTATCGGAAGGATATCCGATATCTGGAGCACTTCCAACTGCAATGTCTACGCCCGATTATGCGAATCTGCTGGAGTGGCCGTGTTGAAGACACGGAGGTGCCCCGACCCACTGGCATGTATGCAGTGGACTGCATAATTATGCAGAGACAACTGAGGTGTCTTGGACATATTCGCCGCCTGGATTCGACCCGGATACCGAAACACTTGCTTTATGGCCAACTGGGTGCAGGGAAACGGCACGTGGGAAGACCGAAGTTACGTTACCAGGACATGATCAAAGTGCACGTATCACGTTCTAATGTTGATTGCAGGTCATGGGAATTGACGATGGTTGATCGACGTGCATGGCGCGATCTAATCACGAAGGCAGTTGTCGAGGGGTAAGAGAAAGCCCTCATGCATGCAGAGAAGAAGCAGAAAATGCGGAAGCGAAAGGCTCCGATGAGCTGTACTCCGTCGACGGCGAGCGCATGGTACTATAGCACATGTGGTTGTGAGTGCCTGAGTCTGGCAGGCCTAGTGAGCCACGAGCAAGACCACTCAGGATCAGCATCGAAACGACGACGGGTGCTGCTGAGAACGTAAGCAGGACCTGCGCAGCGTTGTTAGGTACGCTGCGTTTGATTTAATAACCGCGTGCTTGCGTGTTGAGTTCCTTTATTGTAGGTGGTTGGTTTGCTACCTTGTCTTGGTGTTATTTTGTTGCCTCATTTTAATGTGTACCTGAATAAATTGTTAAGTTGCATATTTGCTTAAACTAGAGGCAGTTGGCTTCACGTAATTTTGTTCTTCTTTATATATATTATGTGTCTTGATCCCTTTTGCTGCCATCCTGAATCTATCACGGCCATTTTTATAATCCATTTGTATCATATGCTCATTTAGCGGCATATCCGTACGGGGTATTCGATCTACTTTAATCGACATTTCCTTTCATGAGTTTGGCTGTTGCTTGACATCCCTGGCGTGGTCGCGCTTGAGGTGCATGTTGACAAGATTCCTACCTGTCTACTACCCACTACCTCGTCCATACTGGCTCCATGAGACAGTTGGCCATTGCTGGAGGGGACGGGGTGCACGGTCCTCGCAGGAGTGCTAGGCTCGAAGAGGAGTTCCATACACTCAGTGTGGAGCGGACTACGGTCCAGCCACCGCCTTGGGTGTACTTGATTCACAACTACAGCTTGCACGCGCTTGCCTGTGAAGGAGTGTAAGCCATCTCCGTTGATGAAACGTGCTTCCATCCGCATGCCTTCCCGTCTTATTCCTTCGGGTTTACATTGAATATGGGGTGTGTGGATGGAGCTGTGGGTGGTGCAGTGCAAACCACCAATTATCACTATGTAGGCGCCAGCGTTCTGTGGCTGTCCCCATAGAGGCCACAATGACAGGCAAATCCGGAACTGGATGCCGCCAAGCATCTCGACCAGGTGCCCGATACCAACTAGCTCGAAGCTAGGAGAGACGGTACATCACAGGATAAAGGTGCAGTCCATCCATAATCTCATTCGCATTTGACGTGCGCGCGGATTTTCCGAGCGATTTGAATTTTTGAGACGGATTAATGTCAGGGTGGCAAAGTATTGAGTATGTTTCCCGTTCGGGGGATGTGCGTGAATCTAAAGGTTACCAGTACTTCGCAAGCCCGACTTCACATATAGGAGGCCGTCCTACAGTACACATTATTTTATTGTACCTATGGTTTTTCATCATCCTACCTGGTAACCGTACTGATGGCACTTAACGTTTGTGCACATCTACATGTTAAAGAAAACACCGACAGTTCGTATTGGGTACTTATACACGTACGTGCGATTTCCCATCATTTATCGAAAATGGCTGTTAACCTTACCTACAAACCAAACGCATGCACGTTTTTAGTCCTGTTCGTGAGGTTAACTGCATTGCTATCCAGTTTGTGTTAGTTCATACTTAACTTTGGACAAAGGCATGTAACTATGAAATAAGAAGTTCCCTTTATGATTTGTGACGACGGAATCAGTTGACCGGGGAAAACAAGCTACCACAGCAGTTACCAGGTACTTGCTGACTACTGGTCGCCGGGTCAATGTTGATGAGTCGTTCACATTCCTAATGCGAGATCAGCGGCCCCAAATTCTTAGACCACTGGAGGCCATCGTTATCGAGCGCGAACGACCACCGCTGTGCTTTCAAAAGCAGCTGACAGGGGTTCTAAGCCTACGGTGGTAGCCCATGCGTTTTGCTATCTGTGATTACCGTTTGCTTAGGTTCCAATGTTCCACCCTTTTTGTGATTGATAAAAATGCACGAAATGACGGCATCACCTCACAATCTACGTCTTCTGAATATTATGTTTGCATGTGCATATGTTTCATACGAATTGCCATTGGCCACGAATAACGCCAGTAGATTTCACTATGTATACCGAATGAATTCGACGAGGATTTTCATACGGCTTTTGTACGGCCAACTTAGTGCAGGGAAGCTGCACCGCGGCAAACCAAATTTCCCTTACCAGCACATGAAGAAAGTGAGTTTATCACGAACTGATGTTGATTTCAGGTGTTGGGAATCAACGGCAGATTTGCTCTTTGCGAATTCCCTTGGCTGATCAAGAGAGTGGTTGCTCAGATGCAGGAGAAGGCACTATTGCAAACGGAGGTGAATTGCGATACATCCGTTCCCGTTGGATTTACTAAGCCAGGCCAATAAGGCAACGGATGTGGTACGTTTGCCTGCGTAATGAGTACTCTTGCATTTCATTTGTTAGATATTGATTGAGCTCCCCGGGGTGGCTGCGCCAGATGTGAATGTTGACAAGCTACCTACCTGTCTAATACCCTCCACCTCGATTGCTGGCTTCAGGAGACAGTTGGTCGTTGTTAGAGGAAACGAGGTGCACCGTCTTTGTGACGGTGCTAGGTTCACAGAGTGTTTCCATCCTGTGTGGAACAGGCTACGGTCCAGCCACCGCACTGTGTACGTCTGATGCGCATGATTTCCCAGTTAGGCAGGAATGCATCTGTTCTGCTTGTCAAAGGAGAGTGCGCGGACTCAATTGACTAAACTTGGCTCCCCTCCACATGCCTCGCGGTCTTATTACTTTGGGTCTACACCGGATATGGGGTGTATGGATGGAAATGTGGGTGGTGCAGCGCAAACTAACCATGATACCTCTGTAGGTGTAGACACCATGTGGCTGTCCCTGTGGAGGTCACAGTGACGGGCAACGTCGGACTCGGATGCAGCCAATGCGTACATATATATATATATATATATATATATATATATATATATATATATATATAGTTTAATTCATGTATGGTCGTGTCGTGTTCAAATACTTTGCTCTGTTTTGGCTCTCGATTCGCTTGTCCTACTCATTTCTATTTAGCACTCGTTGGCCTATCATGTGATCTTGCCGTTGATTGGTTGCAATTCGAACCTCTATCGATGTAAGTACACTGCGGATGTGTGTGGACAGTTTTCTCCATACATACATTCCGGTGTTACTCTGGTCTGCTGGTTTTTTGGGATACAACAAATTGGCGTCGCGTGTTGCCGATGTCATTGCATGCTACTTCCCCTGCACCCTTCTGGACTGGCTCTGCGGTTACCCCAAATGCAGAATGGTGGGAAGACTGGAAAATTAGCATTTGAAATTATATTTTTGTGCTACCAGTTCTCAATTCATCCGTGACGCTGAAAACGGAGGATACTTTAAAGATTTTTCGCTTGCATCTCGGCTCAGTGGGGTTGACATATATTTGATGCTCTAAACCTGCGGGAGAAACCCACGTTGACAGAGGCCTTCTTGGTCCTCAATAAACATTGGGGTGTTCGTGCGAACACTTATACTTCTCCGTACAACTGCGTAGCTGAAACAAGCATCTGGTGAATCAGTGGATGCATTCATTTCCCGTCTTGTTTGTTCTGTTCGAAAGTGTGACTACAATAGTATTCCCAAGAAAAAGTGGAAGCAACTATGCTAATACAACAATCGCTTTTTAGTCTCACGCATTCTCGGATCTGAGAGTCTCTTAATGGAGAACGCAGGAAAGATCACATGGGACAGGGCCTGTGACGTGGCTCGCGTGAAGGTCACAGTCACGGAATAAAACAAAATTTTCCTCTCTAACACCGGAGCTACTGAAATTGACCGTTAGAATTTTACGCGCTCTCTGACGCGATCCTCAGTTAGAAATAAGTGTTAGCATTGTGGAAATACTGAAGATCGTGCATATGATAAGCCATGTCCTGCAAAGTGTGAAATCTGCCGGAATTATGGTAAGACCGGTCATTTTGCTCTGGTTTGTCTTTCCCGCACCATTTCTACTTGATTCTACAAATGACTCTAAAGACTCTCCTAGAGCTTCTCCTAGAGAAGCATCGGAAGTACATATCCATTTCATGGTCCAGTCGTACCAAGATCCAACCTGAGTTACTTCCATACTATACCCTACTGCATGAGCTTTCAGCTGTGAGCAACTGCATTATTAGACGCGAGCAGTTTGTGGTCCCTGCAACCCTTATTCCTGTGGTGGTTGCATGTGCGCATGAAGGTCATCCAGGGATTGTGCGGACAAAAGCTCAGATACGACAATACTGTTGGTGGTCGAAGTTGAATTCTAGCGTCGAGGCCGTTATTCGGGAATGTTACGCCTGGCAACAATCCGATAAGAGTGTGAGGCCCCTGAATGCTCCAGCCCAACCTACCGTGTACCCAATGAAGCCATGGGCAAAAGTTGCCGTCGTTATTATGGACCTGTTTGCTAAAGCACCCCGGCAGAAGCGAAACGTGCTAGTGGATACATGTTTCTACAGCAAATAGCCAGAGGCTATTCTATGCGGGGACGTAATTACAGCCGTCATTATAAAGTGGCTCCGTTGTTTGTTTGCAAGCTACGGTTTGCCAAAAGAAATAGTCACTGATGACGACCCACAGTTTCGAAGTAACGAGTATGCTAAATTCCTAAGGCACAGTGGTATCAGACACACGAGAACTGTACTTTATAATCTTGCAGCGAATGGAATCGAAGAACGACTTAATCGTACTTTGAAAGAATCTCTACAAGTTCTTCGGCTTTCGGGAACATCCTGAGGTGATGCGTTGGTAGCTGCACTGGAGGTATACAGAACCACTCCATATACTGCAACTGCAACGATCTTCTCGGACCTAATGCTAGGGCGAACAATTCGAACTCGATTAGATTCAGCCTTTACATCTGAAAAGACCGCCGATCACAGAGAATACGAAAGACGGGCTGTCTACCAGGCTATATATAGACGCGTTGTGAGAACGTATCCTCCAGCGACATTTGTTCGTGTGCGACTACCCTATTCCAGGAAAGGAGGTAATGTGTTCGGATGGCCGACCCGTGTGGAATCTGTGTGCACCCCAGGAACTTACAAGTTGGCTGATGGGACAAGGGTGAATGCAAGACGGCTGCATACAGCGCTTTCCCAACGGGCTATTGAACATAGGAACACTCCTAGAACACAGCGCTCGGTACAAACTAAAACAAACTTACGAGGTTCCGGTCGGTTACGCCGTCCTGTCTACCGATAGACTTTACGGATAGCACCACGTCACAATTCTTCGGGGTGCTGACATTAAATTCGATCGTTCATGGACTTATAGTGCCTATATTTTTGCGAACAAAGGAGGGGGCAATGTCGTGTTTAAATACTTTGCTTTGTTTTGGCTCTCGATTCGCTTGTCCTACTCACACTTCTGTTTAGCCCTCGTTGGTCTATCATGTGATCTAGCAGTTGATTGGTTGCAATTCCAACCTCTATCAATTTACTTGTACTGCGGATGTGTGCGGACAGTTTTCTCCATACATAAGTTCCGGTGCTGCTCTGGTCTACTGATTTTTCGGGACACAACAAATCAGAACACCGAAGGAGCAATGGGCTTGTCCGGCGTCGAGTTTCTGGTGCAGTATGAGCGAATGAACCGCTCAGCACCGTTATGTCACGCACCATGCTCCGATGGGTGGGCCACCTGTTGAGCATGTCAACACGCGGACTCCTGCGACATGTGTTGTTTGCGTGCCGTGTGTGGATGGAAGATGAGAATGGGAACCAAGTAGTAACTTGGTCGAGAGGAATGAAGACCCACCTTTCGAAGCTTACTTCCGTTAGTGTTCGCCGACTGCCGGGCTGGAGTCCGAAGAATGACGTACACGATTGGTGGGATACGCTTTTTGACATAACGAAGAGCCGAGCTTAGTGGTGCATGTCTTTTGAGCTTCTTTGTCCTTACCCCCGCTTCTTTTCCCCTCCGACGATGATCTCACACCTGCTGCGTTATATGATTCAAAGCATAATTGTACATGTTTTTTGGTTTCTATATGACATTCTGTTGTTTTGTATCTCACCATTTCATAGATCATTTTGCATTGCGACCCAATAGCTGGAGTGTTTCTCAACATTAGCTATAAGGTTACGACGATTATTATAATTATCCTTACTATGGTGTGACAAAGAAAGCGGGAATCACGTGCGCACTGTATCATCGAACAATTGCTTCCGCCTATCATGCCGATACGTAGTTTCTGTAACTGACTCAGTACTAAAGTAGGAATTGGTAAACACGGTACGAGTCCTCATCGATCGGCGCAGTTTCCTTTATTTATGGCAGAATTGACAACGTTTGGTTTATTATACTTATTTATCAGTGCGTTATCCGCTCTGTGTAGCAGTCTATACTCCTGGTTATCATCAACACAGTAATACTAGCTTTGAAAACTAACTCCACACGAACTGTTTGCTTGATTGCCGTGTGTACCAAATCCTTCGGCTCTCAAACACGACTGTGTTCTTCTACGACTCTTCGTGGGAGGGGTTCACTTTGAGCACGGCTGTCTTTCACGCTAGTGCATTGACGAAACAATCAATCAAACAAATTCGTCTGGCACTGATAACTAATACCTTCATATCGCAGTGGTGTGAAGTTAACCAAGTGCAAACACTGGCCGGATCAGGTCAGTTTGCTGTAGACAGAGGGCTTAGTGAATCCATCGTCCGTGGTCACTGGTCATTGTACAGAGCTCGGTTCAGTGTTCTCAATTACACTTCCTTACACTAGTACCCGTTACCTTCGTTTCCTGGGACCGTCGCAATAAATGGTGTGAAACCAACGCTGGATTCCCAAATTCAATTACTAACATGCGTTAGGCAGCCGTGAACTCAGGGACCCAATTTCCCCTTTTCCATTTGCACTAAGCCCTCTCGATCGCAACCATGTTTATGTAACAGGAGCATAGTCGCACCTTCGCAATCCGCTGTGTGGTGGATTCCAAAGCAGACACTGAACCACAGACTGACTAACGTCATTTCGTATTGGAGCCTAAGATAAATTTAAGGAGGGTCTATGGCTTAATGCGCCCGAGATGAAATACTCGTGCCTGCAAATAATATCGCACCTAAGATACGGCCACATTCATTACTATGTGGAGCCAGCTATGAACATAGAAATAATGATCGGTTGCGGTATGAAGCAAGCTGTAATTTTCTACTGATATAAGCATAATTGCAGATATCCATCGGATTGTCCTAATTATTAACATTCGCGTAGTTGGTGAAGGTTCTAAAAGTTCTACAAAAGGCCACTGTTATTCTTATCCTTGTTTAGTTGTGTTACGGTTGATTGGCAAAACTACATTAGCCTTTAAGGAGTGCACCCAGTCCCGGTGTGCAAACAAGCCGCACACGCTTACCGCTTAACGTAATGTTAGTAATTAAAAAGGTAAATCTCATATTAGATGTAAAAGTGCAACCGGAAACTGAGGCAAGTAATGACTGTCGTTTGAATCAAAGTTATGTCATCAAGAGAAATATTATTATTCACGAGCTGGCTTACGTGCAGAAGGGCTCCTGAAAACCCCATAGTTGCTATTCGAAATAGCCCGGCGTGAATAGTAGCTTTCAGAACTGGCAAACACCCCTGAAAATTCATTTGTTGAATGTGTACTCTCAGTGCTCACCTGTCTTTTGTGAGGATCTACCCCACACGACAAGATTGGCTTGCGGCCATTGAAGTCGGAAACTCCGTTTTTACCACAACATTGGAGCTAGTAGTGTTGAAACGAAGGACGCAATGAAAATACACACATGATGAAAATCCGGGAAGTGAAAGTTTTGAAGGTAGCTTCATATACACACATACGGTAAATTGTTGAAAACACCTCTGTACCCAGCAATTATAGAAAATGCTGTCGCAGTTGGAATATCTGGAGCACCTTGCGTCACCGGATGAGCAAGCTCTGCTTAACGCAGTCGACTCAATGACCGGACGTAATACTGAATACTGGGACGCTTGTTGGTCTCAGCACTGCCATCTTCTGTAACGTAAAACTCGGGCCACGAAAAGCTGTCTCCCACACGGAAGAGAATGGAGGGGGTAGATTTTTGACGATTTCCTGAGCTTCCCACTAGGAAATATGCAACATCCTGCTAAATTTCTTTAGTCAACTACCCCATCGATAGTTCAGTTTCTGATTGTCATTCTACTTTTTCAGTGCTCATTGCACCGTGGCACGTGTGCTCTGTTAGCTGTAGCTAACCTTGTTAAGCGGTCTAGACTTTCGCAAATTTTGGGTTACCCGGCTCGCGGTATACTCAATAAGCACAACATTTCATGAACTTAGCAGGCTCAAGCAAAATTCAACGTAGCTGAACTCAACTTGACCTCAACCAGAAGTTGCAAGCAGCAACCGATGAACAGATAGGATACCGTCATGAATTTTCTCTTACGTGATTCGGCTCTCGAGCTACTCGATAACATGCGTACAACAGTAGCATCGCTCGAAACGTCCTTAACTTCAGTGATAGTATGTGAAGACGAAACACCACATAAAAATTGACACCAGATGTTAGATAGCCCTATGGATTGGTCTTTCCTGATTTACGAACTTCGTGAGACAGATGCGGCCACCAAAACAAGAGTAATAGAACTACATGTTCGCATGAATAGAGTTCATCGGTTGAAGGACCACAGATTATTTAGCGAGGCAAGTTACCTTGAAATGCAGCAAATTCAAAAACTTGGTATCATCGTCCACGAGCAACTTGCTTTCATCGTATCGTTGCACTAGCTTCGTCATCATGGCTGATACATCCAGTTCGACCTGACAAATAAGCCTCCTCGTCAGGCTCCGCTCACCTGCGCGTAATATTTTGCCGCCCAAATTCCACATCCGATGTAAAATAGACAGACGATGAGAGTGCAGACTCCATACTGAAAGGAAAGGAAAACGACGGGAACACGAACTCCAAATGAAAAAGACCCCATAGGCCCCCTTACTTATGGTCACTGTACCTCATTTTATCTCCCGAGAGGACCACACAGTTCATTCGATCATTTTGCCAACCATAATCCTATCAAGGACGTGTGACTGGCTCAGCAGTCAACAAATGTATCAGATAACGCTGAGAAAAATAATAGTCATACAGAGGAATAAAAGATGAAACGAATTTATAGACTAAGAGTTGAAGGGAATAGAGTGATATATAGGTACGACCGGTGTTTGGAAACCTTAGTGGTTGTAAACAACTGAGTGAATCCGAGAATGTCACTGGTCTCGTGACTGCCCGATGTCAGGCAGAGTTTTTACTCGCTGAAGCGGTGGATCTCATTGGTGTCACAACCGTGAGCTGGCGACCCAAAGCAATCCCAAAAGTCAATTATGATCATGCAACGATGACTTGTACCGGCAAAGAAGTGGATGTAAAAATACATCACAAGCTGGGTGCTAGATGTTACGGGGGATATAGAAGGAAAGAGTTACATGCAACGATGGCTGGTACCGGCAAAGAAGTGGGTGTAAGAATACACCACAAGCTGGGTGCTAGATGTTACGGGGATATAGAAGGAAAGAGTTACTATGCTTATGGGTAATGCAGTTGTTTGTGCAATTTTCTGCACAAGTACTTGTTAGAAGGCAACTACTGTTAATGCACGTAGTGCCCTTTATGCAGCACCTCACTCCTTGTACGGAAATAAAAGCAGGTAAAAGAGACAGCTGACCGGTTTTAGAAGTTGGCCGATATAATGTGATCAAACTGGTCGAAGTATGGAGATCTGTCCAGTGCCGGTAGGCAAAAGTGTATTCTACTCGGTTGTAAAAGTGGTTTAATTTCAGTTAAAAGTCTACGAAGCAACACGAAAAGCTTCAATTGAGTTCTACGCAGAATCACAGGAGCATCACTTTCCGCAACACTTACAAGACACTTGACATTTGTTCAAGTGAGGCAATCCGAGCCATCTCTTACCCAATGCAGCTTGCTTAATAAGTCTCCATAGTTTATCCCTGCGCAGCAGTTCACCGCAATAGGAGTTTACCTTGGGGTGCTAATATAGAAAAAGCAAATAATTACACCATACAGGAAATAGGTTTTGCTTTAAATCCACCATCATGGTAGTGTTTGACCTGAGAGGAAAACCCAGTTCCCATGAAATATGCTGACCATCGGATACAAATATTGCTCCTTTGTTTAACCGTCGTCAGCAAACTAAGCAGATGGCATTGGACGGTTATAATGTATTTGAGACAGCTGTTGAGAGCGCGGCTGGTGGACCTATACTTACGGTCCGACGGATCGCCAATCGGTTTACCTTAAAACTCACAGTCTATGCAGCTGTGACTTACCCCTACCAACCAAACTTTGCTGATGAGTGTGAAGATCTGAAGTACTCATTACTGCATGCAGCATCAGAAGCAGCCTCAGTCTATCCCATCCAATGACGCAGGATGTTTTGTTGCCTTACATATTCCGGTAGGACGTGTTCTCTTTTATTTGTTTGCGTTGGAACCTACGGCCACTTTCAGAGACAGCTATTTTGCAACTGCTGCTACAACATGGATTTTAAATCCGTGGAAGCGAAATATTTATCCGTGATTACGGTACCAGCAGCCTATTTGTTAGCATTGCCCCGTGGCTCTGAACACCGCCAGTTGAAATTTCCTAGCCTGACAACGAAGACAAAAGTCAGCTCATTTGGCCCATATGCGGAAGAATGTGCCCACCCACCAGTTTAGCTGCACGTACTCATTCAATTTCCTTTGCTGAGCTTCTGTAATAGTACCTGAAAACATGTCAAAACAGTCAAGCTCTTTCTCACCACCTCCTTGATGTCTGCTCAAGGTTGACCAGGCGGAGAGTAAAGTCACTTTTATGTTCCAATATGCTGAACAACATTGCGAGCAAAAGAACAGTTCTCGGGGGGTCCACAAATCACTGACGGTACCCCAATTACAAGCAAATTTCGGCGCGCGGCAGCATAACTGAATAAACCGAACGGTGCGTATAACTAAAGAGCTTTGCTTATTCCTGCAGTAACGGAAATTCCCCGCGACTCTTAATCCGTTGGCCAGCTGTACCTAGTGATTAATCTCACCGGTAGAATGCTTAATAAACACCTTTTACTTCTTACTCAGATACTAATTAGTTTTTGTGGCAATGACGCTTTGTGGTAGCTTCAAGGAAAGTGCGCAGTTCGTGGAAATAAACCCTCATGATGCCGGATCTGTTCTCCCTGTTACCTCAAGTCGAGCCCCTGTCTAAAGTGTGCCATCTGCATCGTTGGTGGTTTTGAAAATGTTTCACGTGTATCACAGTAGATTGATTTAATATGCAGAATCCCCTTGATACTGCACATGGTTTTATGTATTCGAAGGTTAAGAAGTCGATTTACCTAATAGGGGCATAACTAAGTCCTCAGCGTTTACGCGTTTATGTATTCATCGGTTGGTTGATGCACAGCGGTTATTTCTGTACCGTGTAGAATTACGTCGAGCTATATGGTTTCCCCTCTGTAACAGCCCATAGAATTACACGTGTGTATAGCAAGTGGGAAACGTGCTAAGAAAGGAGCTGGTAAATATGCAGTTTGTGGACAGTATGCCTTGGATACTATTCCGTTGCATCCAAATCAGGCTCTGTACTTTGAGTTACTAAATCCTCTATCTAGCACCCGTAATTGAATATTACACCTGCTTATGATAGAAAACAGTAACCCATGACCTAAAATTCAGAAATTGGATATCTTAACGAGATTGTTCATTAACTGGGCATGATAGAAAAAATGTTCACCAAAGTGACGCACTTACCCACAGCAATAGTGATTTCGATTTTTTTAATACACCCAAGCATCCGACGGTGTTGAGTATGTGTAAGGAACAGCCACTGACGCCGATAACTACTGCGACTGGGATGAAGCTAGTCCTTTTCAAAGTGAAGTTTAGTTACCAGGAAATAGTTTGGACGCATTATAGAAGCGTACTATTCTGTGACTGGCATAGAAGGATTCGTAGATGCCAACCGCGACACTCACGCAGCCGGATACCTGTACTGTGAAATTACCTGCCTTCACTTTATGTCCCACTCACCCATGAGATGCAGCTGAGAGCAAGGAGAAAGTAATTTACGTTAGAGACACGATTCTGTGGCCCTTGGAGAGGTCCGGAGTAGTCGTACCTAGCTTGTTGCATCGCATCTAAATCCTATCTGCTCGTTGTCGTTTTCATTATATATGCAGCCGTGAAAGCTGGTAGATCAGTGGTGACTTTGGCTGCAGCGTCTAACCTCACAAATATGCAAATGTTTCTTATCTTGCATATAGATTTCCGCAAACGCTTTTCGAGAGAATGTTAGTCAACTCCGTCCTATTGGTTAGTTTGTAATGCAGCATGGGAGTTCGATGACTGATCGCTCCGCGTGGCTTTTTAGAGACCCGTATGAAAGGCTGATAAAGCCACTCCAAAGCATGGGGTTTCATAAACTGTTAGACTACACACCAACGGTAGGTACCTGCTTTACGCTTACGCCGTATGTAAAGGTTTTCCATTTGGCATAAAAACTGAGAAACTCTGAAATAACTGGAACACGTTGGGTGGTATGACGATGCTATCCCATTTGTGGTTAGCAAATCGAAACTAGCTTGCTTTCTGCCTATGGAAAAAGACATGCTTATTTTCAGTTTTCTATTAGACTCGCTTGCACCATACGTCGACAAGGAGGAAGCAGTCTGTCATAACCGAGGTGCGTTGAAACACAGAGAGGAACCCTACGACCAATGCGCAAATCACTCTGGAACCGATTATCAGATTATGCTATACAATAGGGAAAGAGATACAGTAAAACCCTCATCTTTTGCGACAGGGTAGTCACTAATTTTATTTTGATCATTACAGACTAGTGCCAAGGCGGCAGTGAACTGAAGTCCAGTTAGTTTTATTACAGTGACCTTACTATGAATGTGCTGTATGTGCTATTACTAATTATTTCGTTGTTATTGCTATCCTATTATCTATCTTATTATATTCTTCTACTAGCTTGCTATTTCTTTATTGAGCACGACTGCGCCGATCTCTTGAGACTACTGAATGAAGCTTTCAAGCAGAAGATGTACCTAGACAAGGCGGATAGACAAAGATCCACTGACAAATATAAAAAATGAGACAAACTAAAAAACAAAGTGGTAGCACAATCCGAACTGTTAAATAGTAACATGGCACCATATGCTGACCAATCAGATGAGTGCGGTCGTCATGCCCACTAAGATTAATGAATGTCGAATGGGCTGACTGGTTTGAGTGGCCAGCTTATGAAAATTGGTTATGACTAATCCGCTTTTAAGCCACGCCGGCACATGACAAGATGAGGATGGAAGGGCGGGTGAAGCCATTTGAGGGAGTACCCAGCATGGGAGCAGGTCCCAAGAAGTCGGTTCCACCGATGATCATGTAACTTCCCTTGCTCATTCTTACTATACTTCCTCTTCGTCTTGAATTTGCTGTGGCTCGAGTTCTTTCCTTTCTACCTGCTTAAATTTTGCCGGCATCCATCATGCATTTAATCAGCAGACTTCCTTTTGACTTGCTTTGATGTGTCACCCTTTCTATCTTTATACCAATCTGTACGTTTTGCTAATTACGCTGTGTTCGGCGTGTCGCACATTGCTTAGAATGAACGAATATTTATTTATGAACTTATTTACAGTTTTTCTACTGTTAGTAGGAACGGACGAAACGCGCTTCACCAACCGTACCCCACGCGTAGAATATCCTATTATTTTCGCGTTGGTATGAGCTAACGGACATAGGCACCTGAGGTGGGTATACACGAGCTGAGACTGGAGGCGAAAAGCATGGCCTCGCACTGATGCGCTAAGAACCGGGGTATAGAGACTACCGGATAATCAGAATTCTTTTACTGGCTCATCCAAATGCCAATACGCATTCTACACCTTCGTATTTATAACTCTTTATCGGAATAGCGTAAGGCATAGAATATGGAAACAGGTTAGTACTATTGTAAGTTCAAGGCTCCCAAGTGGTTTATCGCTTACAGCTAGTAAGGCTTATGAGCTGTCACGTAGCAGCAGCGTACTAAGAATAGCTCAGCTGCGCTACATGTGAGATGAAACAGATACAGCAATGTCAACAAGGTTAGCTGGAGTCCGAAAGGTTTGTGTTTACACTTAACTGCGGTTTCAATTAGGAGCGTTCGGCTGTAACCTGCCCACTTTGAGTCACCGCCTGGTGACAGTGTTGCTGAGCCTATTAGATAGGCGAGCTCACTCTATATTTTCACTACATTCGCTGAACTATGCAATGCGTACAGTATCAAACCACATGCTGCTGTCACCGTGTAAACAGCCCACGTAAGCTGAAACAAGGAATTTCTCCTCTTCAAGTGGTGGAAGCATTGACACTTCCCATGAAGGATGCGGCGAATGCCCTACGGCTATTGTTTGCTTCAAACTTTCATCACGTTCAGTGACTATCTGAATCTATACCAAGTGTAGCCCCACAACCAAAACCCATTCATATATTCTGCACGGCAGCAACTGTACTGCTAATTTGCTGTGAATGCCCAAGCACAGCTCCCTTGGAGCTGATAATATTCAGCTGAAGTCACACGCGGCGTTAAGAGAAAACTCAGCCCAGCCTTCGTATTGACTTGCTGATCAATGGTTTGACAATGTGTACGTGCCTGGCAGGTAGAAACACGGGCTGATAACTTCGGTTCAAGTATGAAGTATTCGTTCTAATCAAAGCAACTACCTTCTTGTAACCCTCCCACCGGCTCTTTTAGAGTCATGGAAGCCAATGTTTCCGACGCGCAAATAACCTAATTAGAAGAATTCCTCTACCCTACACAGGGATTGCATGGCTTCCTACGAAATCGATCATGAATTATAAATCTTTTGTTTGCACTATCAAGCTGGAATGCAGCAGTAGGCACTCATGCAGGAGTTGATATAGTCTATGTCGATTTCTTAAAGGAGTTTGACCTGTTAAACCATGGCTTACTTCTTTCCAAACTCCAGAGTGACGGTTTTCGTGGTCCGCTACTAGGGTGAATCAGCAGCTGCCTACTCCACCGACACTTGGAGGTAAAACTGCATGGATGTTTATCAGGTACCATCCAAATCAAATGCTGAGTACCACATGGATCGTTAATAGGCTTACGGTTGGTTTTGACCTATATCAACAACATAACACACCTTAGAATCCCGAACTGTCTACATTTCCTACAATCAGTTTGGATTGCAACCATATTCCCGTCACTCGGGGAGCACTCCTTTTTAGTGGGATGATGACGGATGATGATGTCGAATTGATGAGCACATTTTCTGGTATGAATACATCATGCATGAAGCGCCATTCCTCGCAGTTGTGCGGTTTGGCCTCTAGCTGTCTTGAAGTCTGAAGATCTGGTGCACCGTGGACAAGGATTTAATTTACTTTTCTGTGTTTACGGAAGTCAAAAGGATTGTTTGTGTATTTGCAATTCTCTCCAAGAAACATCAGCAAACACGAACAGTGCGTGTGGTGACACAGAGGCGAGTAACTTACAATAAACTGTCTACATCATTTCATGACTGAAGCGTTACTTAGAGTAACCGCGATTGACCGTGGTGTATAACTTGTGAATAACGGACGAGGCTGGCTTAGATTGGACCCACATTAGCTAACACAGATTCCCACTGAATTCCGGTCGTTTAGCGGCTTGTCTTTTATGGAGTTTGGCTCTTGTTATAATTGAGGGAAAGCCTCTGTTCCGATTGCGAAACGTCTGATAAGATTGTCGCTGGCACGGTTGGAGCATGCCTACGATAACGGCTTGTAACGCTGGCCAATCGAACGGGGTTGCGCTGACCTGATGACATTAACTTAGCCGATGAGACGGAAATTGAGCGAGCGTGAGAACGAGCCTAGCCGCACGTGTTCAGGTAGATGCTGAGCCCTCGCAACGGACGCACGCGACAGGGGGTTACGATAGGCGCGCGCTAATGACTTAGATACGAACGCTGGCCAGCTAACGACGCACACAAAATCACTTGACCCGACCGACTCCCAAGTAAGGCGAAGAGGAAAGAAAGACAGGCCGTCCTCTGAAGGCTCTTTTACGACCAACAAAGGGCGAATCACAGCCAATGCTCTGGATTATTAAGTTAGGGAAAATTTCTACCACGACGAGGTGGTAGTTTGTAAAAGACCATTGTCAAAACGCGCACAGTTGGTCCTCGTCTCGGAGTGGCTGATCACTGCTACGTTGTGGGGAGGAACTGGACCCTGCTTCCCACAGCCATTCTGCCGGGGTTGCTGGCGCGTTTTTGCGGGGATTTTTGACGGGCACACAACAGCCCTAATCCGGTCAAATATGGGCGTATAATAGCCGGATAATAGCGAGATTATCTTTTGTACTTTCTGAAGATATGTGTGGTCTCCTTCTCTTGTCCGACAACATATGGGTTATTAGGTCACCCGTTAGTATTTACATCTTAAACTTCGCCAAGTATGGCAGCGAGTAGAGCTGGGGTAGACAGTGCCTCTGTCAAGCGGGTAGCAATAACGAATGCGTAAGTTGTCGGTCTCACATCGGCATTAAATGTGGCGCGTGAATTGGATAAAGCATGTTCTATGAACTGATCTTTAGGAATATCTCTAGTATCAGAGGGTCTATGCCTGGATTTCTGCTTTTACCTTCCACCTGGCTACACTGTTATGAATTAGAGTTTAATGTTTAGCAAGGATTTCCAGGTACTAATACTTCTGCTTCCATCGAGACGCCTATTGTGATAGTTGCTTGCCCTTCAATCGGTGTCATTCTGTCGCAATTCTAGGCTAAAACAGCTGTTCGTCTAACAAATAGAGTAGTCGTAAACTTACTGCAGAACCAAATGAAATCAGTCATCTTATTACGTTTCCTTGGTTCCCTGAGATCGATGTCAGCATATATAGTTTGAAGGCTTTTTCTAACACTTAGAGCATTCTACTTCAATTCGTGCATGTTTAACATAGCTCTTTACGCCCAAATTAACGTTTAATTGTGAGGCTTTAGGCTTATCTTATTTTTGGCATGTAGTGCGTGCCATTGTGACGGTCAATTCTCTGATTGTCGCTTTCGCCAGTTCCTTACAGGTTGACTGAACCCAAACGTTGTCGGTCAACCAGGTGATGGGGCTGACACAAGTTAGCTC